ATTACTCCAATTATCCCCTTTTTCACAACCTCTACCCCCCTACAACACTGCCCCATCCCTCTTATCACAGCCACTACCCCCAAAATACTGCCATTATCCCTCACCAGCACAACACTTCTACAGTTCCTATCCCAAACAACCCCCTATCCCCTTTGACACAACCCACATTACTTTTCCTCTGCCACCACCATAGCCACTAGTCCGCTACAGTTTTTATCCCACACTACTGCCTTATCCACATCACAGACCCTATAATCCACTACTGCCCCATCAAAGTCTTTATCCCCCTTCCCCTTACATTACCATCATAATTCAACACAAGCCATTGGTAAATGAAAATGTAACCCTGGTGAGAAAGAAAATCACCCCTGATGAGTGTGACATGTACTCTCCATGTTTTTTAAACAACTCGTTTAAGTCTGGCTAGTAGCAGAGGACATGAAATGTGAAGCCTTGATGATATCAATAGTCATAACCAGCTTGTCAGTAAATTATAGGAGATCTGCAAATCCTATGCAGTCTATTCACTTGAAGGATCTAATTCTACCTTTTGTTCTATCTATGAAGCAGAAATCCAATCTATACACTGTTTTGGCATGTCAACATGACAGGGGGATTATGTGATGACATACTTTTTGTTGTGATGTGCAAGACATATTTTTACTTTATAGAATAAATAAACATTACATCTCAGTGTAATAGAAGTAGGTAAAATGGACTTAATAAGTGGTTAACATTCCTTTTTTATATACAACATATTTACCACAATAAAAACAAAACTCCAGGGAAAATATATTTATAGAGTCACTTGAGCAAATACACATCAATACTATTGAGCATAACATTATTCCACTTCAGTAAAATCTTGCCATTGTTAAGTGTTCTCCAAAAATGCATCAAGTACATGTAAGTTACTAAAATTAATTGGCATAGGATTTTTTTTTTTCTTAAATAATAGTTTGTTTTTTTTTACTAGAAAAAAAAACATCTTCTGTACAAAACAAAAAACATCTTCTGTACGCTTCCAAGTCTCTGGATAATTGAAATGTTATTTGAGAAATATTTAAACTTTCTGCTGACTCTTAAAAGAACACTTCAAGCCAAAGGCTCTAGTTGTTATGGTGTCAGGTGTGCCCTAGCATGCTACCAGGGTGTGTAATCAAACCATATGAGAACACCTTGACAACTTACTTGGGAACCACTGGGTACCTCTTCCTGTATCCCTGAAAGCTGCAGTGCTGAGTTAAGCCTGGTAGAGCAAGGCTTAGATCATTGGTTGTGAGTTCTTAACTCATGCACTATAAGTGACAGTGAGAGGAGGTGGCAGGGATAGACAGTTAGTGACAGGGGTTAGGGGGGTAGAGGGGCAGTGACAGGGGTTAGGGATAGTGACAGGGTTTAGGGGGTTAGAGGGGTAGTGACAGGGGTAGGGTGGTCGAGGGGCAGTGACAGGAGGTAGCAGGGATAGAGGTTAGTGACAGGGGTTAGGTGGGTAGAGTGGCAGTGACAGGGGTTAGGGATAGTAGAGGGGTAGTGACAGGGGTTAGGGGGGTAGAGGGGCAGTCTCAGGGTTGGGGGAGTGGAGGGGCAGTGACAGGGGTTGGGGTGAGAGGCAGTGACAGGGGTAAGAGGGGTAGTGACAGGAGTTAGGGGCAGTGACAGTGGTTGGGGGTAGAGGGGGCAGGACAGGGGTGGGGGGCGAGGGGGGTAGTGGCAGGGGTTGGGGGTAGACAGGAGTTAGAGGCAGGACAGTGGTTAGGGCTGCAGAGGGCAGGACAGGGAAGTGGAGGGTCAGTGACAGGGTAGGGGTAGGGCAGTGACAGGGTTAGGGGGTAGAGGGGCAGTGACAGGATAGTGGGGGGGTAGAGGGAGAAAGTGACAGGCTTGGGGCTTAGAGGGGTAGTGACAGGGGTTGGGGCATAGAGGGGTAGTGACAGGAGTTAGGGGTGCAACAGTGGCTAGGGGGTAGAGGGCAGTGACAGGGGTGGGGGGTGGAGGCAAGGACAGGGGTAGGGGTAGAGGGCAGTGACAGGGATAGTGGGGAAGAGGGGTAGTGACAGGGCTTGGGGTGTAGAGGGGTAGTGACAGGGGATAGGGAGGTAGAGGGTAGTTACAAGGGTTAGGGGGTTATAGGGGCAGTAACATGGGGAGTGGGGGAGTGCAGGGGCAGTGACAGGGGATGGGGAAGTGACAGGGGTTAGGGGGTAGAGGGGCAGTGACAGGAGTTGGGGCAGGGCAGTGACAGGGGTTAGAGGGGTAGAGGGGCAGTAACAGGGGTGGTGTGAGGGAAGTGGAGGGCAGACAGGGATTGGGGCAGTGACAGGGGTTAGGGGGTAGAGGGGGGCCTGACAGGGGTTAGAGGGTAGAGGGATAGGGGTTAGGGCAAGAGGCCAGTAACAGGGGGGTGTGGGAAGTGGATGGGGCAGTGACGGGGGTTAGGGGTAGAGGGGCAGGCAGGGGGCAGGGGGTGAGGCGGAGGGGGGCGTGGTGGGGGCAGGAGTGACAGAGGGTAGAAGGGGGGGGGCAGTGAGTGACATGGGGTAGAAGGGGGGTGGAGGGGCAGTAAGTGACGGGGGAAGAAGGGGGGGTTTATAAATACCTGCCCTGGTGGTCCAGTGGGTGCCCTCTCTTTTCAGTCTGCAGCTCTGCTGGGAGTGAGCTGCAGACCACATGGTGAGTCTCACAATCTCCAGTCAGAGCGTTGCAACGCTCTTACAGGCTGGAGATCGCGAGACACCTCAGTCTGCAGCTCACTCCCGGCGGAGCTGCAAACTGAGGCTGGATCTCTGTCAGGGCAGACTGACAGGAGGGGCCTCGCATCCTGGTGGCATTGTGGGCAAGCTGCCGGGCCCCCTCCTGTGTCGGGTCCTCATAGACCGAGGACCCGACATGTTAGTCTGCCCTAAGGCAGTTCAGCATGGAGGTGTGATTAGGGTGTGCCCAGGCACACCTGGCACACCCCGTGCGCACGCCTATGCTTTGCACCAAACATGCCAGAAACAAGCGCTCAACAAGAGACAATATTAAATGTTTATTGGCTCCACAATAAACAACACAAGGGTGGCTCTCAAATGCTAAAAATAGGAAAACAATCAGAATGTATTTTTTTCTATTGATAGATCTAAAATGATTTTTGTATCTCTCTTTTTCCTTGTTTTTAATTTTTTGAACTATACCTTTGTAATTACACATAAGAAAAAGTAAGGACTGCATTTCATTATGGGAAGAGTGATCTATGGCAATTATTAACAAAGGCTTAAGCAAAGTTGCACAGATAATTTACCCACAATCAGTAAAAATTTTCCTACAGAAGGGCTAACTACAGACATCATGGAAAGAGGAGAACAAAATGGATGTGCACAGATACTAAGATGGTGATTATTATTATATTTATATAGTGCCAACAAATTACGTAGCGCTTTACAATGGGTGGACTAACAAACATGTAATTGTAACCAGACAAGTTTGACGCACAGAAACAGAGGGGTTGAGGGCCCTGCTCAATGAGCTTACATGTTAGAGGGAGTGGGGCAAAGTGACACAAAAGTTAAGGAAAGTATTAGGATAGTAAATTGGTTGTATTCACTGATGAAAGAAAAGACAATAAATATAAGTAAATGCAATGGAGGGTAGCTAATTCTTAAGATATTCTTAAGATATTAACCCCTTAAGGAAGGCAGGCATGTTATGCCATCCTTGGAGACCCAGCTCTAAACCCTGGTTGGCGGCATAGCACCTCCACGCCGTCCTTCCCACTTACCTGCTCGCCGGCGATTGCGATGGGGGGGATTACCTTACATCCCACGGAGTCCCCCTGCTACCAATCCAGCCCTCCTGGGTCATGTAATCGCGAGGTCCTCGCGAACAATAGGACGATCACATGGACCGAATAGCCAACCATAGCAGTGCCAGCAGAGGGAGTGCCTGAAAAATCATTTAATAACGTTTTAAAACAGTGTAAAATAAAATAATATATACTTAGATCATATATATATATATATATATATATATACATTTAAATATATACATTTAAAAATATATAAATATATATATACATTTAAATATATATATATATATATATATATATATATATTAATATAATATATATATATATATATATATATATATATATATATATATATATATATATATTATATATATGATCTAGGTATATATATACCCTTACACATACATACACAAACACTGTCTAAGCGTATTTTAATATTAAAAAAATTAAAATATATACATATATATATATATATATATATATATATATATATTAATATCAAAATACACATAGAATGATATTAAATATAGAAATATAATTATATATATATATATATCAAATAAAAAATATATACATACGTTAAAAATGAAAAATAAAAAATAATTAAAAATAAATTATTTTTATATATATATATATATATATATATATAAAATGTCCAAATACTTGCACTCCTGTGATAGTAGGTTAGTGCCTGGTGCTGATAAGGCAAATAACATAAAAAATAAAGTAATAGGTAATAGCACTCCAAGGACTTCAAAAAGTATAAGGTGAAAAACTTAGCAGCTGCTGAATAAAAGCTAAGTTTTTCACCTTATACTTTTTGAAGTCCTTGGAGTGCTATTACCTATTACTTTATTTTATATATATATATATATATATATATATATATATAGATATAGATAGATAGATATAAAAATACACTTAGAACAAAATTATATATATATATATATATATATATATATATATATACATAAATATATATGTATATATATGTATACCACCTATATATAAATAAAATTAATTTAAAAATAATTATATATATATATATGTAATATTTTTACATAATTAAGTCATTTTATTAATCACAATTTGCGGGGCCTGCCTGATAACCCAGGCAGAAAGTCTAGAGAATTTAATTTGATAGCACTATATTTAGCCCTGCAGCTTTCCAAGACACCATAAAACTTTTACATGGGGGTACTGTTTACTCGGAGACTTCGCTGAACACAAATATTAGTGTTTCAAAACAGTAAAATGTATCACAATGATTATATCATCAGTGAAAGTGACATTTTTTGCATATTTCACACACAAACGGCATTTACACTGACGATACAATTTTTGTGATATGTGTTACAGTTTTGAAACACAAATATATATGTGTTCAGCGAAGTCTCCTGAGTATAACAGTACCCCTCATGTACATGTTTTATGGTGTTTTCAAAAGTTACAGAGTCAAATATAAGGCTTGTGTTTCAGTTTTTTCACATTCAAATTCGCCAGAGAACGTATGGTAGAACAGTAATAAGAATTACCTCCATAATGGCATACCATTTGCAAAAGTAGACAACCCAAGGTATTGCAAATGAGGTATGTCCAGTCTTTTTTAGTAGCCACTTAGTCACAAACATTGGCCAAAATTGGTGTTTAAAATTTGTTGTTTGCATTTTTCACACACAAACAAATATTAACGCTAACTTTGGCCAGTGTTTGTGAAAGTGGCTACTAAAAAAGACTAGACATACCGCATTTGCAATACCTTGGGTTGTCTACTATTGCAAATGTTATGCCATCATGGGGTAATACTCATTCCTGGGCTACCATATGGTCTAAAAAGGTAACGTAACCAATCTGGCGAATTTCAATGTGAAAAAACTGAAAAATGTAACATGCTATATTTGACCCTGTAACTTCCCAAAGCTCCATAAAATCTGTATATGGGGGTACTGTTTTACACGTGAGACATCGCTGAATACAAATATGTGTATTTTATTGCAGTAAAAGTAAACAGTATTATGACATTCACAGTTATAATGTCATGCAGAACTAAAAGAAAAAAACATTTCTTAATTTCTCATTTTTTAAAATATTTTATTCATATTAAATTATGTTTCATAGCTAAATATTTGAAGTTAAATGGAAGCCCTGTTTCTTCTGAATAAAAATGATATATAATAAGTGTGGGTGCACTTAATATGAAAGAGGTGAATTACAGTTGAATAGACATATAGTCAAATTCCAAGTTTTGTTTATGTCTTACTTTGATCAAAATGTGTACATTTGGGGTTAAGGGATATAAGAAAAAGAGAAACTGGAAGAAATAAAAACATTACAGTGCAACATTAATACAATAAAGATGAAAGAACCAGTTCTGAAGAAAGAGATCATTGGTTAGTATTATTGGCAAACAATTGTAAAAGCATTGGTTGGAATTGTTGACAATCAATTTTAGAAGTGTGATTTATAACTAGGACAACAGAAGAATAAAATGATTCTTGGGAGAAAAAAAAACTCATTGATATCAAAGCTGAATATTTTTGGAAGTAATTTTTAGTTTGTTTTTAGTTTTAGCTATGTTAGGGGGATATCTGTGTGTACAGGTGACTATTACTGTGCATAATTATTAGGCAACTTAACAAAAAACAAATATAAACCCATTTCAATTATTTATTATTACCAGTGAAACCAATATAACATCTCAACATTCACAAATATACATTTCTGACATTCAAAAACAAAACAAAACAAATCAGTGACCAATATAGCCACCTTTCTTTGCAAGGACACTCAAAAGCCTGCCATCCATGGATTCTGTCAGTGTTTTGATCTGTTCACCATCAACATTGCGTGCAGCAGCAACCACAGCCTCCCAGACACTGTACAGAGAGGTGTACTGTTTTCCCTCCTTGTAAATCTCACATTTGATGATGGACCACAGGTTCTCAATGGGGTTCAGATCAGGTGAACAAGGAGGCCATGTCATTAGATTTTCTTCTTTTATACCCTTTCTTGCCAGCCACGCTGTGGAGTACTTGGACGCGTGTGATGGAGCATTGTCCTGCATGAAAATCATGTTTTTCTTGAAGGATGCAGACTTCTTCCTGTACCACTGCTTGAAGAAGGTGTCTTCCAGGAACTGGCAGTAGGACTGGGAGCTGAGCTTGACTCCATCCTCAACCCGAAAAGGCCCCACAAGCTCATCTTTGATGATACCAGCCCAAACCAGTACTCCACCTCCACCTTGCTGGCGCCTGAGTCGGACTGGAGCTCTCTGCCCTTTACCAATCCAGCCACGGGCCCATCCATCTGGCCCATCAAGACTCACTCTCATTTCATCAGTCCATAAAACCTTAGAAAAATCAGTCTTGAGATATTTCTTGGCCCAGTCTTGACGTTTCAGCTTGTGTGTCTTGTTCAGTGGTGGTCGTCTTTCAGCCTTTCTTACCTTGGCCATGTCTCTGAGTATTGCACACCTTGTGCTTTTGGGCACTCCAGTGATGTTGCAGCTCTGAAATATGGCCAAACTGGTGGCAAGTGGCATCGTGGCAGCTGCACGCTTGACTTTTCTCAGTTCATGGGCAGTTATTTTGCGCCTTGGTTTTTCCACACGCTTCTTGCGACCCTGTTGACTATTTTGAATGAAACGCTTGATTGTTCGATGATCACGCTTCAGAAGCTTTGCAATTTTAAGAGTGCTGCATCCCTCTGCAAGATATCTCACTATTTTTGACTTTTCTGAGCCTGTCAAGTCCTTCTTTTGACCCATTTTGCCAAAGGAAAGGAAGTTGCCTAATAATTATGCACACCTGATATAGGGTGTTGATGTCATTAGACCACACCCCTTCTCATTACAGAGATGCACATCACCTAATATGCTTAATTGGTAGTAGGTTTTCGAGCCTATACAGCTTGGAGTAAGACAACATGCATAAAGAGGATGATGTGGTCAAAATACTCATTTGCCTAATAATTCTGCACTCCCTGTATTTATTACATATATCATATGCAACCACTGTGGTACTCCGCAGATGTGGCCAAAATAGTTAAAAACAAAAAGTTAGCATTTAGGAATTATAAAAAAACCCAGAGTGAGGGAGACAAAATGATCTATAAGATTAGGCAGAAAGAGGCTAAGCAAGTTATAAGAGCTTCCAAATCACACACAGAAGAGAAAATAGCACAGTCAGTAAAAAAGGGGGATAAAACATTTTTTAGATACATAAATGAGAAAAGAAAAGTAAAACAAGGATTAGTTAGATTAAAAACAAAAGAAGGAAGGTATGTAGAAGAGGATAAAGGTCAGGCTGACTGCCTCAATGAATATTTTTGTTCTGTATTTACAGAAGAAAATGAAGGAAAGGGACCTCAGTTGAGAAAAAGGATAAATGAGTCATTTATTACACGTGAGTTTACAGAGGAAGAGGTTCTATTTCAACTGTCAAAAGTAAAGACAAATAAGTCAATGGGACCTGATGGAATACACCCAAAGCTATTAAAAGAGCTTAGTGGTGTACTAGCAAAACCATTAACAGATTTATTTAACCAATCATTGTTAACAGGAGTAGTCCCAGAAGATTGGAAGTTAGCGAATGTTGTGCCCATTTACAAGAAAGGTAATAGGGAGGAGTCGGGCAACTATAGGCCAGTAAGCCTTACTTCAGTAGTGGGGAAAGTGATGGAAACCATGTTAAAGGATAGGATTGATGAACATCTAAAAACACATGGATTTCAAGATCAGAGACAACATGGGTTTACTTCAGGGAGATCATGCCAAACTAATCTTATTGATTTTTTTGATTGGGTAACTAAAATTATAGATCAGGGTGGTGCAGTAGACATTGCTTACCTAGATTTCAGTAAGGCTTTTGACACTGTTGCACATAGAAGGCTTATCAATAAACTGCAATCTTTAAGTTTGGATTCCAATATTGTTGAATGGATAAGGCAGTGGCTGAGTGACAGGCAACAGAGGGTTGTAGTTAATGGAATATATTCGAAGCTTGGACTTGTCACCAGTGGGGTACCTCAGGGATCTGTACTTGGACCCATTCTCTTTAATATTTTTATTAGTGATATTGCAGAAGGTCTTGATGGTAAGGTATGTCTTTTTGCTGATGATACTAAGATATGTAACAGGGTTGATGTTCCAGGAGGGATAAGCCAAATGACAAATGATTTAGGTAAACTAGAAAAATGGTCAGAATTGTGGCAACTGACATTTAATGTGGATAAGTGCAAGATAATGCATCTTGGACGTAAAAACCCAAGGGCAGAGTACAGAATATTTGATAGAGTTCTAACCTCAACATATGAGGAAAGGGATTTAGGGGTGATTATTTCTGATGACTTAAAGGTAGGCAGACAATGTAATAGAGCAGCAGGAAATGCTAGCAGAATGCTTGGTTGTATAGGGAGAGGTATTAGCAGTAGAAAGAGGGAAGTGCTCATGCCATTGTACAGAACACTGGTGAGACCTCACTTGGAGTATTGTACACAGTACTGGAGACCGTATCTTCAGAAGGATATTGATACCTTAGAGAGGGTTCAGAGAAGGGCTACTAAACTGGTTCATGGATTGCGGGATAAAACTTACCAGGAAAGGTTAAAGGATCTTAACATGTATAGCTTGGAGGAAAGACGAGACAGGGGGGATATGATAGAAACATTTAAATATATAAAGGGAATCAACACAGTAAAGGAGGAGACTATATTTAAAAGAAGAAAAACTACCACAACAAGAGGACATAGTCTTAAATTAGAGGGACAAAGGTTTAAAAATAATATCAGGAAGTATTACTTTACTGAGAGGGTAGTGGATGCATGGAATAGCCTTCCAGCTGAAGTGGTAGAGGTTAACACAGTAAAGGAGTTTAAGCATGCGTGGGATAGGCATAAGGCTATCCTAACTATAAGATAAGGCTAGGGACTAATGAAAGTATTTAGAAAATTGGGCAGACTAGATGGGCCGAATGGTTCTTATCTGCCGTCACATTCTATGTTTCTATGTTTCTATATAAATTTTTGTGCTTCTCTTTTTTCCCCTCAATTGACCATTTCGCACTTGATCTGTGAATACGATCAACAACTGCTGTCTTAATCCTAGCTATATATAATTTAAGTATAAGAAATGACAAAGCATTAGTCAAGATACTATTAGTCAACATATTTTTCATCAATCATCTATATTTGTTTTTTCAACACTGGAGGCGGAATTCAGAATCATGAATCAAAACAAACATACTCAGCCATTCCGCGTTTAGATTGGTTTGTGATTTGGCGACATTTCGGCTCAGAGTATAGGAATTCAACTGATCACCTGATTGGCCTAAATTCGGGCGAATTGCAGTTCAGAACAAGACTAATCTCCATCTCTAACTTACAGTGATAAGGCAACC